TTAATACATTATTTACAATGCAAAAAGACTAGTCCTTGTTATAAGTCATCTCTAACATGTTTTACAAACATCAAAGAAAACTTTAAACTTTATTAACTCTTATTTAAAATTCAATAATTTTTTAACTTTATCCCTATTTAATATACATTATATCTCATGTAAACAAAAATAACACAATAATAAATGAAAAGTAAAATTATATATCTATATAAAAAATTTCTCTCAATATCTTATAAACATATCTAAAAAATGTTTTTTTTTCTCCACCGTGTAAATAAGAGCAGGGGAGTATATTACTAAGAGTGGTGTATATCGTACTCTTCGACAGTACTTCCTCTATTTATTCTCTTCCGCCCTGATGTGCCTCAACTTCTATTTGCTCATTTATATTCTCCCCTCCCATTTTTAAAAGGTGTTTAGATAATATCAAAATCATGATTTCAGAAATGCTTTTACGGTATACGAAACAAATATGTGGAGGAGATTGTTTCGATTTGCGGAAAAATACTTCTGAAAAGTGATTTTAAAGGCATCCAAACACCCTTTTAGTCTTTGCTCCTACTTTCTCAACAATCAGCCAGCTAGGCACTCCCAGTTTCACTGTGCACACCAAATGTTTGTTGGCAAGACCACTCAAGGATATTTTGGAATAGAAAAAGGGGCGATAAGCGAGATGTTACTTGATTTTAGGAGAATTTAATCCTCTACGCTTACAAATGAAACATGCATTTCTACGTAATCCTTCTTGATCTATACTCCTCAAATCTTATTATTTAATATGTTTCATACAGACCAACAAAAACTTTAAAAGCTACATTGACTTTTTTTTAAAATACAACAATTTTTTAATTTGATCCCTGTTTGATATATATACTTTTAAAAACAAAAAACTATCTACACTATAATAATCAGCGGACAAAATAATTTATTCAAGCAAAAAATTTAATGATATAAGTTATGACTATGATAAAAAAAAACATTTTTTCTTGGGAAAAAGACAGAAAAATACACTCTTAATTTCAGAAGCCCAAAAAGGTCCGCTGAATTCAACAAATCCCAGTTTGGTACCATGAGACCAAATTGGGATTATTATTTGAAAGGAAAAGACCAAATTGCCCTTCATTTTAAATATTACTTTTAAAATATCACAGCCCCTACTGGCCGGCCGGCCACCGGACCTCCGGCGACGGCGGTCACCGGAGCTCGGCGACCAGCCGACAATTGGTCACCGGAGCTCCGTCGGTCGGAATTTTTTTTTTTGAAATTTTCACAACTTCAATATAACGGTTAACAACTTTTGTAATGCGATTAACAACTTCAATATATCAATTAACAACAGCTTTTCTGGAAAATTCAACAAAGTCCGGCGACCGGAAACAATTTTTTTGAAAATTTTTACAACTTTAATATAACCGTTAACAACTTTTGTAACGCCATTAACAACTTCAATATAGCAATTAACAACAGGTTTTTTGAGAAATTCAATAAACTCCGGCGACCGGAAACAATTTTTTTGAAAATTTTTACAACTTCAATATAACGGTTAACAACTTTTATAATGCTATTAACAACTTCAATATAGCAATTAACAACAGCTTTTCTGGAAAATTCAACAAACTCCGGCGACCGGAAATAATGTTTTTGAAAATTTTTACAACTTCAATATAGCGGTTAACAACTTCTATAACCCTATTAACAACTTCAGTATAGCGGTTAACAACAGGTTTTTGAGTTTGTTAAAGACATTACTGAAGTTATAAAAATGCCAATTTTTGAATTTAAAAAATTGTTGTTAACTGCTATATCAAAGTTGTTAATCGTTATATTGGAGTTGTAAAAATTTTCAAAAAAACGTAATTGTTAACATTATACTGAAGTTAAAAATTTTACAACTTCAATATAACGGTTAACAACTTTTATAATGCTATTAACAACTTCAATATAGCAATTAACAACAAGTTTTCTGGGAAATTCAACAAACTCCGGCGACCGGAAATAATTTTTTTGAAAATTTTTACAACTTCAATATAGCGGTTAACAACTTCAGTATAGCGGTTAACAACAGGTTTTTGAGTTTGTTAAAGACATTACTGAAATTATAAAAATGCCACTTTTTGAATTTAAAAACTTGTTGTTAACTGCTATATCAAAGTTGTTAACCGTTATATTGGAGTTGTACAAATTTTCAAAAAAACGTAACTGTTAACGTTATACTAAAGTTGAAAATTTTTACAACTCCAATATAACGGTTAACAACTTTTATAATGCTATTAACAACTTCAATATAGTAATTAACAACAAGTTTTCTGGGAAATTCAACAAACTCCGGCGACCGGAAATAATTTTTTTGAAAATTTTTACAACTTCAATATAGCGGTTAACAACTTTTGTAACCCTATTAACAACTCAGTATAGCAGTTAACAACAATTTTTTTTGAAAAATTATATAACTCAAAAAACCTGTTGTTAACTGCTATACTGAAGTTGTTAATAGGGTTACAAAAGTTGTTAACCGTTATATTGAAGTTGTAAAAAATTTTCAAAAAAATTGTTTCCGGTCGCCGGAGTTTGTTGAATTTTCCAGAAAAGCTGTTGTTAATTGCTATATTAAAGTTGTTAATAGCATTATAAAAGGTTGTTGACCGTTATATTGAAGTTGTAAAAATTTTCAAAAAAATTGTTTCCGGTCGCCGGAGTTTATTGAATTCTCAGAAAACCTGTTGTTAATTGCTATATTGAAGTTGTTAATGGCGTTACAAAAGTTGTTAACGGTTATATTGAAGTTGTAAAAATTTTCAAAAAAATTGTTTCCGGTCGCCGGACTTTGTTGAATTTTCCAGAAAAGCTGTTGTTAATTGCTATATTGAAGTTGTTAATCGCATTACAAAAGTTGTTAACCGTTATATTGAAGTTGTGAAAATTTCAAAAAAAAAAATTCCGACTGACGGAGCTCCGGTGACCAATTGTCGGCTGGTCGCCGGAGCTCCGGTGACCGCCGTCGCCGGAGGTCCGGTGGCCGGCCGGCCACTAGGGGCTGTGATATTTTAAAAGTAATATTTAAAATGAAGGGCAATTTGGTCTTTTCCTTTCACATAATAATCCCAATTTGGTCTCATGGTACCAAACTGGAATTGTTGAATTCAGCGGACCTTTTTGGACTTCTGAAATTAAGAGTGCATTTTTCTGTCTTTTTCCCTTTTTTTTCTTGTTTTATAAATAAGACCAGAAAAATAGATATATAATATGTGCAGGGGTGATTGTATAAGGACACCCAAGCACATACACAAAACTAGGAATGAATTATGGATAATTGTTTTCTCGAAATAATTATGATCTTAGAGGCACAATCATTGCAAACTTCATTGCTCAACATCTTAGCCCACAAAATCTAATCTCATCAAAACCATGTAACGGTGCTTCCATCATGAAAGATATTTTTAATTGAGCATCCTATCAATAATTAGCCTAATATTAGGGAGATTAAGACTTATATATATATATATATATATGAATCACTTTATTTCTTATTTACCAGGTTGGTAAAAAAATCTATTTCCATCTGCTTTAAAAGAATTTATCATTAACTGATGTGATTAAAATAAAGGCATACATAGATCAATTTAACCATAACCATAATTCAATTTGAACTAAATTAACAATAGTAACCTTTGAAGGATAAATTAGCAGCAAGAATATTATTCAAATAAAATAAAATGCTCCTTCGATTCTAAATGTAAGACTTATTTTGTGGTGTAATTTATATTATAAAATGAGCCTTGCGTTTAAAACTGAAAGGATAATTATTTATTGAGTCAATGTGCAAATCTATTTATAAATTATTCTCTCATGCCCATATGATACCACAAAGTTTTTTTTAGGTGAAATAGTACACATGAATGTTACCAAATAGGGCAAAAATGTCATTAAATCTAACATATACTAGGCCTAGTTGATTAATTTGAAAATATTAAAAAATTAGTTAATCAGTTATTATAATAAATAAGTGTTGTATGTTCTAAAATACTCTTACTAAATCACGTGTATTAGCTAAAACTACTATTTGATGAGACTTTTAATGTACAACTACTATAAAGACTATTTTGAAAAAAAAAAAGATAAATAAAAAGATAAAGTGAATTGGGATTTTATATTTAGAATTAAATTAAAAGTCAAATAAATTTTTATATTAAAACCTAGAGCTAGTATTCCTTCAGTCTTAAATATAAAACCTATTCTGTAGTACTATAAAATAAGTCTTCTATTTAAAATAAGAGGAATATTATTTTAGCTTGACAGAATCCACTTAGGGTTTAGGTATCATAAAATAATGAATGTTATGATGTCATATATATGAGAATATTTTATGAGCAGAATTATGCGTGAGCCTGACCTTAGATTACAGGCCCAAACAAAAAATATAGCGTTGGATAGATTAATTAATGTAGGAAATAAAAGGGAATAATTATCCGGTTGCCCCACCCGACCTAGCGATCCAACTTCAATAATTAGATTCCTTTTCCTTTGATTTCGGATACGCGTAAACGTGACTACAGTCTACAGAGAACCCGGCCCCACAGATCAAACTGCAAGGGCAATATCGTCTTTTCATCTCAACCGCCCGAAAACTTGCGCGCCAATGTCCCCTCCCTCTTTTCACTTATGAAGAGAAAAAGAATAACAATATGTTTTCCTCATCTGAGAAGGCAAATCAGAACCGAAAAAGTCAGAATTTTTCTAAAAATTTTAAAGAAATATGGTAATTAGAGTGATGCTGATTCCACAGTTTGATTAGTTAACACAGTCCCAAAAAAAATTGATATGATTTATTTATAAAAAATATCAATTAATTAATTCCTTAAATCTATGGCTTCCTCCTCCTTCTTCGCCTTCTTGTCTCTCTCAATCTCTCTCTGCTGCTACTACCTTCAAGGAAAACCCTAACACTCTCACTCCTTACTCTAGCACTGTTCCCTCACTAGGATCTCGTACTTTGATCTCTCTGGCATTTAATGGTGACCGTTGGATCTCCGATCATGGCAATGTGAATGCGGTACGGCACTCTCTTTGCTTGATCCTACCTGTGATCGTCACCGGTGATTCTGCGATTTTGTCATTTCATCTTCTGGTGCCAGAGTCCCTGATTCGGTGTGTTTTTAACTTCTGGTGACTGTGAGTGTGGTGGCATTTGATTTGCCTTCCCCCCCCCCTTTCTTTCAGTACGATCTTCTGCTTTACTTACTTACTGGTCGCTTTTCTTTCTTTTCTCTGAAGAGCCTTCTTTGTCTTCTTTCTTTTGGGTTCCGATGAATGTTGGCTTTATTCGCAGCTTTGCGTGCTGTTTTTGGTTTGGACTGTATGCGAGTTGGAGCCATCCGGATCCAAGTGACACTGGTACATTTCGTGACTTGCGTTGAATTCTGAAAATAGCTGGTTTCGTTTGAGTAATTGCTTCAACTTTAGAAATGTAAGTTTAATTCTTCTGTTCGCTTTCTCGTTGTGTAATGAACGACTAAGATCATTATATGTTTTCTGCTGTTTTGGCTTCTCGGTCTGATGCTTCTGTTTTACTCGTGAGAGACACATTCCCTGACTGTTTTCACTCCAAAACTCTATATATATATATATATATATATATATTTTTCCCATTGCCTTGCATACGTTTACTGTGCTTTCTTCCTCTCGGAAATCTTTTTTATTTGTGGTGCTTGTTTCTTGCGGTTCTGCTCAATCGGTAGAGTTTTCCAAGCTGGTTTACTTGAACTTAATAATATTAATATTTATATTTCTTTATTTTAAAATGTATTTAGTTCCTAAAATGGAAAATATCGACTTTTGGCGTTATTTTCTGTGCCCCTGTGACTTCTTGGGTTTAGATGAAATTATGAAAACAAATAATGTTCTTTTTTTGGGGAAAAAGCTTCATAGTTTCATACCGAAAGTTCGGGGGGGAAAAAAGAAGGAAAAAAGGCTGTTACTTCCCGCCCTTTTTAATCTCAGGGTACAGCATGCACGTTTATGTTCAATTTTAGTTTTAGTTATTTATTTCTGACTTCCATTGACAATTGCCTTTTCAATTTAGCAATTGAATTGGCGTCTTATGTAACCGACAGAAATTGTTTGCATGGTGAAACAGATCTTATGATCCATTGCAATTGATGCTAGTGAACATGGGGTTGTCAGACTTCCAGTGCGTCCTTATAATTTATCATCTCTTTTGGCTGCTGCAAAGGCCGAGATTTATGTAGTAACTATTGAAGGTGAACCTGTCATAAGTTACACCGGAGGTCTTGATGGGTTTGAAGCCATTGCTGTGGAATCTGATGAGAAGATTGACACCACAAGGTATTTGCAATCTTTCTTTTTGGGTTTTGAAATTTTTAGAAATAGAGGTACTGCATCTTTTCCATCATTCTTGAAAGGTTGGAAAACTCTACTCTTGGTAACGAATTTATGGACCAACTGGCATTCATTGCTTGTCTGCTTTGGCCTTTTCTTTGTGATTACATATGGCGAACTTGGAGGCAATATATATTGTGCTGTGTTTTTTTTCTGATGTGTTTCTTGATCTGTGAGATGTCTATCCTTTTGAGTCTAGTAATTTTCACTGGTGAGGAAAAGTCATCAATATGTTTTCATAATCTCTTGTTTCGTTAGTTATTTGTGTAAGATTTTTTACTTGCTTTTTCCGGGTACAAAGAAGGAAATGCTATAATTATTATCGCAACGAAATATTATCAATTATTTCTGAGTCAAAGCTGTTCTAATCAGTACAAAGATCAGGTATATTCATATTTCTTCTATTTCCATCGACTGGTCTATAGCTAATGCTTGATTACTTTTTTCTTGAGTGAACATGATGTTATTAGTACCATCCCACTCCCCTGCTGTTTGTACAATTTTTCCCCTTAAAATAAATTGTCTTTTGGCTGTTATATGCTCCTCTTATGCACTTATAAACAAAGAAATGGATATTATAACAAGTGTGCTTGCTCACATTTTATAATATTTTCAACTTCCTCCAGTGAATTGGTAACTTTATGCTCATCACCTTGAGAGTAAACATGATATGCTTCTTGGGATGCTGTTTGAACGGGGAACCTACAAGAAACTTTACAGTTATAGTCATCTTATAAATGGGTTTGCTGTTCATATTTCCCCTGAACAGGTGAACTCTTGTAATATTCTTTTACTATTCCATTTTTTACATTTTAAGTATGAGTTGTTTACACGCATTTTTTCAATCTAATCTCATTGCGCTATCCTCTATTAGTAGGCAGAAACCCTTAGACGTGCTCCTGGAGTGAAATCTGTAGAGAGAGACTGGAAAGTGAAGAGACTTACAATACATACGCCACAATTTTTGGGGCTTCCAACAGAGGTATGGCCAACAGGAGGTGGCTTTGACAGGGCCGGAGAAGATATTGTGATTGGATTTGTAGACTCTGGAATCTATCCACACCATCCAAGCTTTGCCAGTCGCAACACCGAACCATATGGACCAGTTCCAAGATACCGAGGAAAATGTGAAATTGATCCAGATACAAAGAAGGACTTCTGCAATGGGAAGATTATTGGAGCACAACATTTTGCTCAAGCTGCGATAGCTGCTGGGGCATTTAATCCGTCTATTGACTTTGCTTCTCCCTTAGATGGGGATGGACATGGAAGGTTGGGCCCTGCTTCATTCTTTATTTGCCTATTTACTTGGAAGCATTCAGGACTTCTTTTTGGGTTATATTATATTTATAACTATTCCCTTAATTGATATGAAAGGAAAGTCTCACTTGACTTGATTTTATTCCTAATGGCCTTCTGCCGTTCATTTAGTCTGAACTGGGGAAATTATGTGGTCAGTGGTTTTTTTTTATGTATGCATCCAAATTACTCGATGCTTTAGTATTCACACTTTTGCTTAAGGCCATATCGTCTAATTTATAGCTTTTAATATTTGTTCTGTACTCCTTGAATCTACGTCTGGCAGTCATACAGCTGCTATTGCAGCTGGAAATAATGGAATTCCTGTGAGGATGAATGGGTATGAATTCGGGAAAGCAAGTGGAATGGCTCCCCGTGCAAGGTGTGAAGAAGAATAACTTCTAATTGTTCTTTTTTCAACTTATAACTATAGTATCTGTTGCATCAGACACCTGACATGTTTGTGTTCAGGATTGCTGTGTACAAGGCACTGTATAGGCTTTTTGGAGGCTATGTTGCTGATGAGTTGCTGCAATTGATCAGGTTAATACGTAAATTTTTAATATAAAATTTAAAATTTTATCTTGCAAATTTGTTCCACATTATCATGTTTATAACTATTGGTTCCTGGTT